GAGAGAGAGAGAGAGAGAGAGAGAGGCGAAGGTACGCACAAGCAAGGCGGCGCTGATCGGCGCCCCGGCGGGCACATGGTCTGGCGAAGCACCCGGGACCGTGTAGTTGAAGCTGCGCGTCGGGTGGGCCGTGTACTGCATGACATGCTTGGCATAGTACTGGGAGTCGGCGGCGGCGGCGGCGGCGGCGGCGGCCGCAGCGGCCGCCGCAGTGGCCGCTGCCGAAGGGGCCACCCCGGCGGTCGCCTCCACCGACGAGTACACATCCAGGGCACTCGGGCGCTTGAGGCGGCTGCCGAAGGAGAAAGTCGTGGACACCGGGCCACCGGGGCCCGACACCGGCGGCGGCCGAGCATGATACGAATGCCCATGCCCGGGTGGCAGGAGCTGCGGCGAGGCCGGCCCCCCCGACGGGGGCAAGGACTGCGGCGTCCCCCCCAGGGGAGGACCACCCGCCGAGGGGGCCGCCGAGGCAGGATCCCCCGGCTCGGAAGCCGCGCCGGGCGCGGTCGCTGGCTGCGACCGAAGCATCGGCCCCAGGGACAGCATGCTCGGCGGCACCAGGGCAAAGTCCTCCGGCGACAGGGAGGCCAGCACCTTGAAGGTGGACAGGCCGAGCGGCGTAAACTGCCAGTGAGGGGGAATGGGGGTCACCTCCTTCGGAGGGGGGGCCGTGGCAGCCACCACCGCCGCCGCCGCGCCCGCCGCCGCCGTGCTAGAAGGCAGCAGGCCCGCCGGGACGGCGGCCGAACCCGCAGGCAGCGCCGCCGAGGCCGTAGCCTCCGACACCAGGTCGCCCTCGCCGCCGGGGTCAGACCCCGCCCCGTCGCCGCGCTTGCTGAGGAAGGTGGAGTTGATGCTCTCCATCACCTCGGCAATGGGCCGGTGCCGGGGAAGCTGGGAGAAATGCTCATTGAGGAATTGGTCCTCGCTGGGAATGGCGTAAGACCGCTGCTCGATGGCATCCGCATGCCAAGTGGCCACCAGATGAATGGTCTCCAGGTCGATGTTCACCTGGAAGTGGTCCAGCAAATCCCCGGTCATCGGAGACACAAAGCGCGCCGGGGACTTCATCCAGTGGTTGATGGCCACACTCTCATAGGTGAAGCCATCGGCCGCCAGCACCGGCGACGAGTAAATCCGCCCGGTGAACACGCAAAACACATGCGGCGGCAGGAGAACCGTGCGCGTGGTGACCGCCGTCGGGTTGCTCAAGGTGATGCATGCCAGCTGGCGCTCCACCGAGTACGGGTCCGGCCGGGGGGACTCCGTGAAGAGCACCGCCGGGAGTTGGGAATTGGCCAGCAGCGCGGGGTCCAGGTCCCCGGCGGCCGAGTCGGCCCCGGTGGACACGGCCGCCACGGCTGCGGCCGCCGTCCCGGGCGGACACACACTGGACAGGAGGTACGACGCAAAGCTGTCGGCCGTCGCCTGGTCCGGGTCCTGGTGCGACCGAACGACGCTCTTCCGATCTCAGCAGCGCGGGGTCCAGGTCCCCGGCGGCCGAGTCGGCCCCGGTGGACACGGCCGCCACGGCTGCGGCCGCCGTCCCGGGCGGACACACACTGGACAGGAGGTACGACGCAAAGCTGTCGGCCGTCGCCTGGTCCGGGTCCTGGTGCGACCGACGGCCATCGGCCCCGCCGGACCCGGGACCGGTGGAATCGCGCGGACCAGCCGACACCCCACCGGCCCCCGTCGCCAGGGGTCCCGGCCCCAGGGCCCCGAGGCCGGGCGACACGCCGCCCACCCCCGGGGACAAGGACCCCAGAGGCGATGGCCCGCCGGGCGAGGACACCGGCGACACAAGGAAGGAGGCCCCGGCACGGGCGGCTTGCGCCGCTCGCGCCCCGGCCGCCGCGCTCAGCACCGTGTCATGGTACGCCTGGTAGGACAGATCGGAAGAGCGTCGTGTCCGGCCCCAGGGCCCCGAGGCCGGGCGACACGCCGCCCACCCCCGGGGACAAGGACCCCAGAGGCGATGGCCCGCCGGGCGAGGACACCGGCGACACAAGGAAGGAGGCCCCGGCACGGGCGGCTTGCGCCGCTCGCGCCCCGGCCGCCGCGCTCAGCACCGTGTCATGGTACGCCTGGTAGGACTTCATGGCCTCACGGTCCAGCCCGGCCAGGCTGGCCGGCAGGCTGCTTGGCTCTGACGGAGCGGCGTATGCCTGGATCCCACGGGTCTTGTTGCGGAAGACCAGTCGCGAGATCTCGGTCATCAGCTCGTCATGCTTGTTGGAGAGGGGGTATTGCTCTGTGTGCATCATGGCCTGTCAGGGTGCGGGTGTCGGGGGAGGGAGGATGTTCGAGTGATGACCGGAGGGGCGATCTGCAAAAAAAAAAAAAAAAAGGGAGGGGGCGGACTGGGAGATGGGGATGCCGTACCCAGGCCGTCGATGCGGATGAGGTTGCGGTTGGACTTGAGCAGTTGGGACACGGCCTCGAGGCCGCGCGTGCCGAAGGAGCAGTCTGTTGTGCAGTTTGGGGGAGGGGGAGAGAGAGAGGGAGAGGTAGGCGCGAGTGTGGGTGTGTTAGAGCGCAACGGACGTGGGGAAGGGGAAGAAAGAGAGGGAGAAAGGGAGAGACCTTGGTGCAGGCGGTCAGTACGTACTAAAGATCTGAAGGGTGACCAGGGTGGTCGAGTCGTGGACGGCCAGCAGGATGGCCTCAAAGTGCCGGGCCTCAATGTTGTCGCCATTAATGTACAGGGTGGTGATCTTGCAGATCGGGGAGGAAAGGAGCTCATTCACCAGCTGGATATACTTGTTGAGTGAGCGCCCGCGATAGGGGCCTAGAGGCGGGGGCACGAGG